AAATATCTTAAAACTTGTTTAATGTATTTCAACTATACAATATGTATATTATAATACTATCCTACAAAACTCTAAATTAATTAAGTAAATTACAACTAAGATTGTTGAAGATCTTAGTAAATCCTGGTATTTTTGTCGTAGAAATTGCATTAATTAACTTATAGAATAATGCTAATGTCAATTACTTTAGATCCTTAGGCCCCGGCCACACGAGGCGGTTTAACCGCGCGAAGTTAAGGGCTTCGACAACACATTGAATCAAATGAGAGTGGCCACACGAGGCGAAGTTTAGCCGCAACATGTCGTCCCCCGACCGCGCGAAGTTAAGCCGCGTTGGAGGGGATGACACACGTAGTCTTATGAGAGTGGCCACACGATACGGGTCGACCGCGCGGCAGCCGCGCTTATTGGAGATATTCTTCGGACATTTCCAGTGGTTTTTGGGTTTGTTTTGTGTATTTTTACCGGTTGTGTGGTGTTCAAACAATGTTTGATACATATGAACTCCGAACTATGGTTTCGCATGTGCTCGTAAAAGGTTTGGAAGACAAAAAATTGTTTTTCCGTTATGAAGGGATGGACCCAATGATTTATGTTACGTTCCAGATCACCACACGCTTTTAATGCACAAACTAACATAAGTATTTCGCCCATGACTAAAAAGAGTGAACTGAACTATGTTTTAATAGAGTACTGATACTGGGAAAACCCAACAGGAAGCGGTTCATCCGCCCCGTGTGGCCAGGCACTTCGCGCGGCTTAACTTCGTGCGAAGATAAGCCGCGCGGCTTAAATAGTTAAATAGTTCGGAGTTCATATGTATCAAACATTGTTTGAACACCACACAACCGGTAAAAATACACAAAACAAACCCAAAAACCACTGGAAATGTCCGAAGAATATCTCCAATAAGCGCGGCTGCCGCGCGGTCGACCCGTATCGTGTGGCCACTCTCATAAGACTACGTGTGTCATCCCCTCCAACGCGGCTTAACTTCGCGCGGTCGGGGGACGACATGTTGCGGCTCAACCGCACATGCGGCTAAACTTCGCCTCGTGTGGCCACTCTCATTTGATTCAATGTGTTGTCGAAGCCCTTAACTTCGCGCGGCTTAACTTCGCGCGGTTAAACCGCCTCGTGTGGCCGGGGCCTTAGAGCTTGCAGCAAGTAAGAGAGTTTTTTTGTATTTTGAACAATGATGGACGGCCTCAATAACGAACGATTTCCTGGAAACAGCTTATCGTTAACAACAACTTGACATTAATCTATGACTTTGACGTTAAACTTCCTTTACACCCCAAAAAAATATTTATGCGAAACACTTTTTTTCTATAGGTATTTACTTGATACATTTATTACACAATGGACGTAATCATTGGTTACAAAAACAAGGTTTTAAAATGTACAGTTAATAATGTCATTACTTTTTAAAGTTTATTCTACATAATTGTAGCTATAATACTGTGTATGGGTAATGTAACTTAAATGATATACTGGTATTTAAAAAAAAGTGCGATGTCCCAAAAGCCCTCCCTATACATATCTCACGAACATGTAAGCCGCTAAACATGTCGAGATTGTCTCAGTGCAAGTAAAATGTATGTTTGGGTTTCTTACTTAGTTAAAGACTTTCTAGCTTGAATGTTTGTTTGTACTGCTGTGTGTCACTAGATAATACCAAAATACATTTTAATATAATGAAGATGTTAGTATTGAGGTAATTATTACGTTTCTTTAACCCTTGTCTTTTACCATTTTATAATGTAAGTTTTGGATTTTATTCATTATTATCCGTGACCCACTTGAGGAATTTAGCTGTAAAAACTATTTCCAAAACCGTGAATCGCCTTACGTAAACTTTGCAACCTTGAATGTAAGTATTAAATACTGACATGGAGTGAGAATAATAAACATTGGTATTAAATGGATCCATTTAAATGTACGCTATCCAAGCCACAAAGGCTTTCAATGTAAATGTACCATTAAACAAAAAAAGTATTACATGCTTTAGTAGTCTATAGCTGAAAGGATATCCGATGAATTGTAAGCCACCATATCAAACTTACCCTAACCCTATCAAACTATCAAACGGATTACATTGTTATAAGTGAACTGTTTTGTGCTTAAAGTGTTAACAGGCTGGTTAAATCTTTCTTGGGACCTTTTAGTGATCAATGCGGACATTGTTCTTACTGGATCCCTTTGGAGCTGATAAGTCCTTTCAATCTGTTTTTTTCATATGTTTATAGTACTTTTAAGATACCTAACAGTGTATTTATACTTTTGATCAGAAATATGTATTAACGAAACGCCCTTATTGCTGTAAATTGTGCAGCCTGAATGTATTATATATATATATATATATATATATATATATATATATAAAGGACGGGCTTGAGATAAAAATATAGGTTGAAATCTTCCAAGCACAAATTGAATCCATCTTGATTCGATAGTATTGAAAAAAAGCATATATATCATACCTCTAGCCAGTCCAGTTTAGCGATTTGATTAACACTTTTATCTTTAAGTAAAAAGTTATAATTTATTTTGTGGTATCGTTAATGAAAGCTAATCTTTTTCAGTGGTACGGTAAGAAAAAAAACCAATTTGATTTCACATGCTAATGTTAATTGATCTGTTATGTTTACTCATATTATAGATCCTTTATATTACAGTTAAATAATTGTATTAGGAGGTAAAGTAAACTTAATGAAGTTTATCCTGAAATTCAAATAAATATCTCACCATACAAATTATGACATACTAAATCAGAATTTAAAAGATTAACATTGATAATATAAGTAAGACATAATAATATCAACTAAGGTGGGGTGGTGCCTTACGCCAAAGTTTAGTTAAGTTTTAGCATAATTTAAAATCATAGTCTTGGTTATGTGTCATGATAGTTAACTAAGATAAATTGGTTGAAAGGACAGTTGGGTATCATTATGAAATGATTCTTATTAGTAATATACTAAATTGAATTCGATCACCAAGTGAATTACAAAGTTGATTATTAATTCATGTACTTTATTTAACAAACGTTTCGAGGAAATTCGGTCTTCATTAAAACTTTTCAAACCTAGCTTATTTCGTTTATTAAAATATTAACTTCAATAAAAATCAAAATTACCTAAACATCTTATTGTAAATACAATATTTAAAGCATTCACCTTTTTTAAACTCATCTCCTACTATTATATTAACAGAAATATATATTAACCGTATTTTAGGCTCCTTATAAGTTGTATAGCTTATTATTGAAACTCAAAATTCCAACTAAAGATTATTTTTTTATCGAACCTGTTGACAATGATGCTTTAGATGTTTAGAACTACTGAGCTAGATATTATATCAGGATTTAAATAATTATAGTTCAATTAGTAAGGTAATTGAAAAAAATACTTCTTGAATAAAATTCTAGTTTTGTATACTTTTTTTATTAAATTTCTGCATAATAGTTAATTGTAAACTTTAAACATAGCTCACAAATTGATGATAATGCAATATTATATAATTTTATTTTCATATATCCCTTGGGGTACGTCCCATGGGCTTCCAAATTTTCAATGTTAACATTGTGGAAGAAAGTACAGTTGATATATCAGTTATTGAAGTAAGCTGTAAATACTTCAATTTGACAGTTTGTTCAAAGAACAGAAGTTAAAGGGTACAGGTTCTGCTCCTAAAAGATTCAAAAGTTTTAGGATTATGAGAATAGTAGCTACAACATCTGACTACAGTTGAACATGGTTTGGTTATGTATTAACAGGCTATATCAAATAGATTTAATATATTTACACATTTAAGACTAAAATGTTGAAAATAATGTATCAATAAAAACAATTTTTTTAAATACCACGTTTTTAAACGAACTAAAATGTAGAAAATAATTTATAAATATGTGGAGAGTATAAATACTTCAGATATTATACACGAAAAACGTGGGCGCATGCAATAGATAATATTAGTTTAATTAGTGAAGATAATAATTGTAAATCAGTTGCATGCGCCCACGTTTTTCGTTTTAAATCTTACAAGTATTTATTCTCTCCACATATTTATAAATTATTTTCTACTTTTTAGTTCGTTTCAAAACGAGGAATTTTTAAAGTTGTGTTTATTTGTAAATTAATTATTACTTTCTTCTTAGTTGGTTTGAAAGATTGCTATGGTAACCTGATCAAGACATATTTTTACCTAAATTAGTTTTGCCAACAGCTCTTCTAACAAATTCACTTTAACCCCTTGTTCAACTTCAAGTAAAATAAATTGTTTATTCCTAAACTTAACGCATGTATTACAGTGGCACGAAATCACGTACAAAATGCTACCATCTGATATTCATTATACAGTAGCTTAGTATTTTAATCTATCATTGAAAATAAAATTAAATATAGTATACTATCAATTTGAGGATTCCTTGTAGTCCTTTCAACTCCAAACAAGATGGTACAACCCCCAATATTTATTACAAAGAGTGCTAGGATTAAAAAGTTAATGCAATATTTGTGATTATCCCATGATATTCCCAAAGTTACTCCTACCGTTCGCACATACAATGGGGGGGAGGCAAATGTTTTGGGCCAATAAGGAGAGGAAGTAGGTGTCAGTTTTCTAATACCGTTTATTTTAATTTACATCACGAACGAGGTACATAGACAAAATGTTTGCCGCATAGGACGGTTATGTTCAAAGCACCATGAAACTTATAACATGACACCGCTTAACTAAAGTTTCCTTCTACATTACAGCATACATTCATTTTTAATTTTGTGAATTCATGAAAAATTGATTTTACTTCAATGTCAAATTAACAGTTAACATTTAACAGTTAACATCTCAACAACACCAAAAAAAAAACTCTAATGATAAAATAACACATTGAAGTCAATACATTTATTTTTTAAATAATTATGTAATCTAATGTGACAAGGGAAACGTCTAAAAAGCTGTGAATATCATTAAATAACAACAATAGGCTTTTATTGGCTAACTTATTCAGATTTGAAGGAATGAGTAATCCTGCTGTATGAGTAGGTGGCGCTCAAAACCTGAAATATACATATACAAGTTATTTCATGTTTAACAAATCTTTCTGTTATTAGTTTAAATAATGTAAGACACAAAATAAAACTCTCCATTTACCATAACAATTTTAAAAAATTCCCGTAACCTAAAAGTTTTGGAAAACGTATTTTATTTTACCCGTAAATCTGAAATATCCCTTCATTATTTCACATTGATATCTTTGAAGGTAACGGACAGGTTTTATTTTGCTTACTTGTAAAGATGTGGTTTTAACTCTGGTTTAGTTACTATATAATGCTGACCTGTTGTTGGATTGAGCTATTATTTGATAGCATGACTCAATGGAAATCGTGGTCTGAAATCGATACCTCATGGGGTCAAACCACCAAATCCTCAGGTCAGCTCTTTACCAAAACAACTATTATTATCTACTTAGTTTCCGATGAACAACTGTGTAAGCTTACACTCGCAAACGTCTCCATGCTCAATGTGTAGATGCCTCCTGTAGTCAGTTTGAGAGGTTTGGACGCCATGATCTGCATGATGAGCAGTCCTCGCCTTAAACTGCGAGGTTTGTCAGTCCAGTCACAATTGTACAAAGCCTGGCGAAGTGCCTCTGACTGGAAATAAGTTAATTGCAAAGTAAAATGCGTTCTATACTTAAATCTTAACTAAAGGATAGTAGAACCGTTGATTTTCCGTAAACTCAAATAAATTCATTTCCCAAGCACTTATTATACAGTATATTGACTCTTGGTTATTTTGATTATTGATTAGACAATTATTGAAAACAGAAGAGTCAAATCATTTGTTTAAATTCCCATTAAAATGAGATCAATAATATTTGTTATGTTAATAAAATGAGTCGATATCAGCGCATTCAACACTTCCAATACAAATTGTATTAAAATCCAGTCTCTATTTTCAGTCAAGGGGTAAAACAACAATACCCCACTCATAGCTTTAGATAACAATTTAAATTTAAATTTAAATTTAAACATATGCTACGAGTATTCGTTTGTATTCGCGTAGTTATTTCGTAACCCCTAAGCAAAGCTCAAGCTTAATGTAAGATTGAGTGTTTTCAGCCAGTATTAAATCATTACTCAGTATTACCAAATGTAAATCTGCTTTTTAAATAACCTTTCCACTGCTATTGAGGAAAGATGTAGGAGGGAAAGCTTTGCGGTTGATTTCAAAGAGCTTTGCTAGCCTCCGCTCAGTTGATTTTTATTTTTGTATTATATTATTATTGTTTTCAAGTAATTATATAATTCATTCAAGGCTGAATTGTTATTATCATTATTATTATTATTATTATTATTATTATTATTATTATTATTGTTATTTAATTATTATTTAAGGCTGAGACAACTCCACGTTAATATATGTTTTGTTTAATTCATATTCGTACGTTACATTTTTGTATTTGTTCAATCTTATCCAAAGTACTTGACTAAATAGATATTTGAACTTTCTACGTTAATTTTTTGTGTAACTTTTCCAGATGCACCAGGATAAAAAAACCGTGCATTTACAAGAAAATACAAATGAGTTTAGTATTTATGGTAACAATAATTTGATATCAATACCTCATCCAGAAGAATCTGACCGGAATAGTTAAAGAGTCCAACAGTTCCCAGGCTCTCGCAAAAGACCACAACTACTAGTTTAAATGCTTCCGGACTAAGAATATCTGCGTTCTAGAAATAAATAGATAGAATTATTCGTTTATATCATTTTGCCAATCATATAAGTAACATTAGTATAAAAAGTATCATTGACAAGAATATCAAATGTACAAATTACTTTTCAAATATAGTTCAAGAAAACTTATGTACTCAATAGGCTCGATAATGTCTCATGTGTTTAAAAACTTAAGAACCACTTGTAATAAATCTTTACCAGTAAATAACCCCATGCAGTAAATATCATTTAATAATTTTATCTAGGATTAAATGTAAATTTAGGGATGTATAACAACCAACAAATTAATCTTATTTGTGTAAGGTTTGTTTTTTAAGTGGAGATAGTTTATCTAACTTACAAGTCGTAGCTGCGGGATAGCCAAAGCAATAAGTATCACCACAATCTGAGTGAAGAACAAAATGGAGTAACGATATGTCTTCTCCGTTAGTTGGACGTTTCTGTTGAAGAAAAAATTTCATTGTGATAAGAAGTGTATAATAGTGTCTTTTATTAACATGAAGCTTATTATTTCTAACGCCATAAAAAATTCTAATTCGTCCTTCTTGAATGTTTATTATCCTTTAGTATGTTAAGTTATAAAATGCTTATTTATTAAATAATGCCAGTTATAAATACTTAATCAATTAGTGACTTAAATAGATATCCAGAAGAAAGGAAGCAGGAAACGTCTCAAGTCTTTCTAACTAATGCATTTATCAAACTTCAAAGATTATGGTACTATTTATGAAAACTTCTTAAAACCGTGCGTTAGAAATTTTTAAACCCAAACGTGTATAATTTTACTAGCTCTGGCAATATAACCAAAATGTAGATATATCCTCAAAAACAAAAATTAATTTTATGCTGCTATTTTTTTCAATAGGCCTATCAAGGTACAAGTCTTTACATACGTTAAAATACTAGGATTTCATCGATCAATAAAATAGTTTAAACTTACTTAATAATGTTGATGTGTTTTTCCACGATATCCTTTAGAAATTCTTTAACCTGTTCATCAGTGCGCCTTATCTTGAGGTCTTCATTTTCTTTTACTTTATTAAATGGTGATTTTGATTTCAAACTCTTTCTTCTTGCCTCGAAGTTTTTCTTAGTATCATCAGCCCTGGAGAGACTGGGAAAAACGTTTACTTTTTCATTGACACCTTGCAAATCACTGCAAAGAAGTCGGATTTGACATTTTATTTTGCTAACCATTAGGAACATGGCTAAGAACCATTGGAATTGTGTGAATGCTAAAGTAATAACGCAGGCAGTATTTAACACGAGAAACCAGTCTAGATTTGTCGAGTACCAAACGTAACCAAAGGTCATGTGTACACATTTATTGCTTGTTTGGGCTGGTATAATATAGGATAATGTTGACCAAAGCACGATGACAAGGAAATCCAACCACATTAGTTTGCAGAAGAATTGAAGACGTTTCAAGTATTCTTGAATTATTTTTGAATGGGCTGAACTAACAGGATAGGTTTCTGGCTGTTCCATTAAAACGCCCATGATTGCCTTTGAATTTGCTTTTCCAGCAACATAGCACATTTCTGTGAAAATGTGAAGAAGAAATACCAAAGCATCGTGTGTCATTGTAATTAAGTCGTAGTTTTTTATTGTGTCTTTTTCAAGGCAGGCAATTGTAGTAAAGAGGAAAAATGCACACGTTAAAGATCTTAGGAGAGAAAAGAAGATCGCAAAACCATTCGTGCCAAATACCATAATCCTGGATATTTTCAGTATTTGTAAAAAGAGTCTGACTGACTTGGCAGGGTCCATTACAGCAACCTAGTAAGGGATGTGTTATTAATATTAAGTTATAAGTTGAATGTAAACTTCCCCTAACAAAAACTACTGCAAATGCGAAGCTAGTGACGCATACAACACTTTAATAAGACTGGAAAAATCGCCAGAGGGTTCACTATTGGTGAATGTCAATAGTGCGCACAGAAAATGAGCTTTACTCACAAACTTTACAACTTACAGTACCTGTAGTTACTGTACTTTGTTGTACCAACAATATTAATAATTATAGTTGATCGTTGCGCGTTGAACTTTGTGTTCTTTGTATTCATATATTTTTCATGCATTTGCGTGGTTCAAGTCTAACTGCCTAAATATTCAACTAGGTTAACAGGCTTAACACTAGGCCCGTTGCTATGATATTGTCTTGGCAACGTTACGAGGGACATCGCCAGGGGCTATGCAGTATTGTACCATTCAAATACAAATATGTGCTCACTGAAGTAACTTTTGGTTAGTTTCCTTTCGGTTCGGCTGAACCCTCTTGACTCTTAAATAATTCATTTCTTTTGGATAACGTCATATTAATCGATTTGGTTTCTGAAAGACATTTATCACTCTTGCAAGTTCGTTCAGGGACAGTTATCAATATTTTAAAATGTATAATATTCTGTCTAAGTATTACATACAGCATGTATGACAAATTATCTGTACATGGTGTTCCTAAAAGTAGTTAGCCTAAAGATGATTTTGTTAAAACACAATTTTCTTTATCCTCTTATACTCATATTCTGATAACTCACAACGATTGGACTATAAAAACCTGTTTCACATAACAACCACCCACGATTAAAATTTAGATAGTTACAGTTTTGGCAAAAGATTTAATAAATGAATAAACTAATTTTTTTTTATATTCATTTAAATTGCAGGCTTAAAACATGTATTGCCATAAAGTGGTTTTGATGATTTGAAGTTGTCTTTAACAGATAAAATTCTTGTATAAATTAATTTAATAATTGTAAGTTTCTGAAGAATCAGACCTACCATTGGATTTTATACAGGGTGAGTTTTACATAAGTTCCCCCCCTACTTTTTTCTACATTTCTTAAGATATCAACTCCGGACCACGTAAGATCATTGTAGAGTAGTAAGTTCTTCATTTTGACTGGGTATAAATTTTTGGCCGCCATCTTGGATCCGCCATATTGGATACAAAGTTTTTTTTCAAATGTAAAGGTAGGATTGTGACCCATCGTTTCAAACTAGATTTTTACGTTGAATATGATGCTGTAATCCGTTTTAAAAAATCTTGATCCATTCTAAAGTTATGAGAACATTTTATAACTTATTTTTAGCCCATTTTAACATTGTGCTATTTGTGCAGTCACAAACTCAGACTATAATCGTAAAATAGAGCTAAATAAAGATAAGTATACACCACCAGTCATTGTCAACCTATTTTCACTTGTTTATGATCACTTGGATACGATTATGGTCTTAGTTTGTAACTGCACAATGTTAATATTGGCTAAAAATAAAGTTTTAAACAGTACTCATAACTTTATGACGGATCAAGATTTTTAAAAACGGATTGCAGCATCGTATTCTGCGTAAAATTCTAGTTTGAAACGATGGGTCACAACCCTACCTTTGCTTTTGAAAAAAAAATGTGTATCTAATATGGTAGATCCAAGATGGCGGCCAAAAATTTATACCCAGTCAAAATGAAGTACTTACTACTCTACAATGATCTGATGTGGTCCGGAGTTGATATCTTAAGAAATGTAGAAAAAAGTAGGGGGGGGAACTCATTTAAAACTCACCCTGTATATAAAGCAATGTTGCGTTATTTCCACTGCAGAGGTACATTATGGCTTCCGGAGTCAAGTAAACATTATAGGCGCCATAAAATAAGAAAATAGATAGCAAGACCTAGAAATAATTAGAACACAGATGAAACCATTGTTGTTCGATAGTGAAAAGTATTGTGAATAACATATCAAAAGTCTCCAAAAATATCTTTGGTGGAACACCACTATTTTTCCAAAACGGCGGCCAAATCCAGTAGTTTTTTGCTTTTTATTGAAATTCTGAACTTCCAGTCAATATTGGTAAAAAGTCGTCAGTACATTTAATGTTCCTCCTGAAATTATCTTTAAAATGATACCAAATACATGTACCTACAACAAAAAATAAACCCCGTAGAAATAATAAAATATTTCAAATAAAAATATTTTTTATAAATTAATTTAATAGTCCAAGCAAACTAAAAATAACGTACACAGGGATAAATCTAGTTCATAATGATGTGTCACAACACTATAATTACATAAAAAAAAATATTTTTATCCAATATGGCAGATCCAATATGGCTGATCCAAGATGGCGGCCCAAATTGAAATTAAGTACGGACCATCTAATAAATATCGGTCGTGGTTCCAAGTCAATATCTCAAAAAATGTGCAAAAAACATGTGCTATCTTTTGTTGCAAAATTTGTCCAATATTAAATCAGCGTGGAAATCTAGTTCATAATGATGTGTCACAACACTATAATTACATAAAAAAATATTTTTATCCAATATGGCATATCCAATATGGCTGATCCAAGATGGCGGCCCAAAAATCGTCCCCTATTGAAATTAAGTACGGACCATCCAATAAATATCGGTCGTGGTTCCAAGTCAATATCTCGAAAAATGGGCAAAAAAACATGTGCTATCTTTTGTTGCAAAATTTGTCCAATATTGGGAAAAGCCGCCATTTTTTCCTTAATTTAGGGGTTTCCCATGGACTGATTTTTTGCAACTTTTGGTACGTCACTCTGCACACCACAACAATAAAAATAAAACCATAAAATGTTTACTTGCAAATTTGTATACGATATCTGTGTCTGTTTTGTTTTTAGTTTGTTTGGACTATTACATTAATTTATAAAAAATATTTTTATTTGAAATATTTTATTATTTCTACGAGGTTTATTTTTTGTTGTAGGTACATGTATTTGGTCAATAATAAGTCAATAAGTCATTTATTTGCCAAATTAACAAATACAATTTGCATTAGCTATGTCAATATAATTCAATACAATATACTGAATACAAATCAGCAACTTAAAATGCATACCCTTATACAATAATAAAATTAAAGGAAAATAAATCTTTAACCGCCAGCCAGAAATTCACGGACGCTGTAGCAGCATTTGGAAAGCAACAAGGACTTAATTTTTCTCTTGAATCGAAGGTGGTCTTTCTCCAACTTGAGATCAATGGGTAGGCTATTGAAAAGTTTAATTCCGTTGTACAAGAGGTGACGTTTAAAAAAGGACGTGGAATGTTTGGGAATTGAACAGTTGATCGCGGAGCGCAAGGGATAAATGAAGGAGTGAGAGTCGACTTGAAACCTGGAAAGGTTTTGCCTGACAAATGACAGCGTCTCAAGGATATAGATGGAGGGAAAGGTTAAAATTCCAGATGAGCTGAAAACCTCCTTGCAAGAATGGCGACGTGGGAGAGAGAAAATGGTTCTTACTGCGTTCTTCTGAAGCCTAAACAAGAAAAGTGTTCTTTGATTTTCAGCACCCCAAATCGGCAGAGCATATGAAAGAAAAGGATATATCAACCCATAGTAGGCTGAAAAAAGGACATCAGTATTAGCAGTTCTGGATAAAGTACGCAGGACGAAGAGGCCTCTACTAACCCTGCCCATGACGTAGTCAACATGTTGATAAAACTTTAGATGTTGATCTAGGTACAACCCAAGAAATTTCACTGATTCTGTTGGCTGAACCAACGTTTGATTCAAGAGAATTGATAAAGAAGAGTCATGGATTGAACGGTTCGAGATACGGAAATTTAAAAACTGGGTTTTTGATGTATTTATTTTCAACCTGTTGACGTCAAAACACTGAATGAGCTTGTTGGCTTCAATGTAGGTTCTTTGTTCAAGTTCAGCTAAAGAAGAACTAGCGAGTGTCAAAGAGGTGTCGTCTGCAAACAAGCAGACCTTGGCGTTTGTGCATGAGGGAAGGTCGTTGATAAACAGAAGAAACAGAATTGGACCGAGGACAGACCCCTGAGGTACCCCCCTTATGACTGGAGCCACGGAGGACCTGAAATGCCTCACACATCCATCACTATCGGTAGCTGGTATCTCAACGACCTGTTTCCTTCCTTTAAGAAAGGTTGAAAACCAATCCAAGGTCACACCTCTGACGCCCAATGCTTCGAGTTTATTCATGGTCAACCAAGTCAAAAGCTTTACTTAGGTCGAAGAACACGCCCGAAGAATGGTTTTTGGCGTCCAGTTGCATGACTATGTTGTTGACCTAGGAGAAAATTGCACTTGAGGTGCTTCTGCTCTTTACAAATCCATGCTGATCTTCGAAGAGGGTTTTGTTGACCAACAAAAAGTTCCACAGCCTGGTCAAAACTGCTTTCTCATAGATTTTTGACAAAGAGGATAAGATTGAAATTGGCCTATAGTTGCTACATTCCTTACGGCTACCTGATTTGAAGACTGGCCTAACAACTGCTAATTTTAGAGCACTTGGGAAATGTCCGTGAACAAAAGAATGGTTGATAAGGATGGACAAAGGACTTGCCAGTAGATCGGAAACCTCCTTTAAGAGAACAGGTGAGATTTCATCTTCCCCCGATGTCTTCTTGTTTGCCAGTTCTTGGATAATTCCCTTTATCTCAGTGTCAGATGTTGGATAGAGGAACAGCGAGTCTCTAACTACTGGTAACTGCATCGGATCAGAATGCATGGAATTGGTTGAAGTACCAGAGGTTTGTGTGATTTCGATAAAGTAAGAGTTGAACAATTCCGAAATCTCCTGAGGCTGTCTGGCAATTTTGCCATCGTTTTTTACCAAGCTAATGTCGTTTGGCATTCCCTTATTAGGTGCTTTATTACTATTGATTATATCCCATATTGCCTTTGACTTATTTCCCGAAGAATTAATTTTCTTCAGAATCTCACAGGATTTTCGATCTTTTATAGCCTTGCGATAATATTTTTTGAGGTTATTAT